AAAAAAAAAAAAAAAAAAAAAAAAAAAAACGCTTCCTCTCGCCGCGCTTTGCTTTTATTTTTATTTTTTCTTTTATTTATTTATTTATTTTTTTTTGCGCGCTGATTTTCGCGCTGCGACCCAGCTAACTGGACGCCTGGAAGAGGCTAAGACTAGCCAGATGTCAGCTTCAAACAATGGTGACCGTTTTGAGTGAGTTCACTACAGTATATTCATTCTAACAGAAGAGGGTCTGGAAAAGATTTGAAAAAGATTTTTATTGCAAGTAAGAATTGACTGGTTTTGAAATGACACCTGAAATCTGACAGCTGCAAAATTTACTGATAGTTGGAAAATGGACCGAATTTATAGCTTAGATTCCAGACCCTGTAACATTGTACCTGTTGCGTTGTTGCAACAAGACATATTCATATTCTCGGTATTGGACTGGAACTAGCTTGCAATGGAGGCTCATGCTGCCAAATATCGTTAAAACGACAACAACATTGAATAACGTCTGTTTTTTCTTTGTCCCACGCTCGCGTCATGTTGATCAGTTCACTTTTCACATTTCATTACCGAGGTTAAAATTAACCATCTTTATTCATTTATCACACTCACGGTGACTTCGATAGTCCTAATCCTAGCAGTATGCAGGACGCCTGTCACATATGAACTCAGTTAAGGACGTTCGCGCGAAAATTTTCCAGTCGATAGTTTTTTTTTTTCAAATTTTACTGCAGTCAGATAATGAGTTACTTGTGTCAGAAATGAAAAAAAAAAAAAAAAATGGGGGGTCACGGGCTTCGTTTCAGAGATAAAAACGTGTGGAAAACTACCTTGATTTTGAATAATTGGCGCACGTAATTCAGCATGGTATACAGGGGTTTATAGTTGAAAATATCGTAGGTAAGTCAACGGAGGCAACAATAACCTTACGTATCACGAGTTTTCGTAGCTCAGTGGCCCGGTATTTGGGAGGTCATTGGTTCGATTCCTGTCGGAGACTCAGATTTTTTCCTTGTCCCACGCTCGTGTCATGTTGATCAGCTCACTTTTCACAGAGAATAACGTCATTTGCATTTGATGATTCCCCGCATTAGCTTCAGTTGCAATCTGGTTCAAGTTCAATACCGAGAATACAAAAATGGTTCATTAAATTGCATAAGATGTAAGGATTAATCACAAGCAAAAAAAAAAGTAATAACACGTGATTACCACACCGAGCACTTGGTATGCGGGCTCATATAACTTCCACGCTTACAACCAAAAGCGTCTGCAAATTTGTTAAAGTTGGACAGCGGACCAAGCACCCTGCGAATGAATGTGAGGAATGTAAACAAACAACGCCCAGGACTTTAAAATGAATGGTAAATGATTCGAAGATGGTATGTTGCTCTGGCGTAGAAAGTGTATGTACAACCAATTTGAATAAGTAACCCGAGTGTCTACTTCTTCTAGCACAGACTCAAAGGAATCAACCATCACACAACCTAAAACCAGGGAGGCAGGCAGCAATTCGGCATATAAATATTTCACCATAATGCCGGGATACGGAGTTGAAATGCTTCCAGATAACCTTTTCTAAGGATAAGATCATCTCTCGAGTTCCTAGGACATTGCTTAACATTGTTTTTTTAATTTCTGCTAACAACCTTCAAATCGTGTTTTTCTTTACTTGTGCTAAATATGTGAAAACGCAGCATTGAAGGTTGAAAGATTCATACCTGTATTTTGGGTGCGAATGTACGTCATTCTTCAACTGATAAAGAGCAGCTTGCTTCTTGTAGATGCTACACCATGGCTAACATGAAGTAAAAGAGTCATGTTTTAGGTACTGATGTAAAGAAAATACTTTCCGCGTAACGACGTTCATTCGTCGGAGTGATTGTGATTGTGATTGTATGCGAGGTTCACCTTCTTATTACCAAGTTCCAGTAAGCGTCTTCGTTCAAATGAGTGAGACGATTCCTCAGTTATTTAGTGGAGAGTTTGATGGCCTAACAACGATTATTGTATGCATTTATTGGTCCAAACTGCGTGTGCATTCTCATTTTCGAATCTTGAATTTTCCGTGACAAATTAACGAGACTAATTTTGATCCAACAACTACGCAACCAAAAATCGTTACTAAGCAGCAGGACCCTCCAAGGGAAAACTGGGGTTGCAGAACGCTTAAGGCAGTTTTCATTCTTTTGGCTTTCGCAGAGTACGTTACACGCTAGTAGCACGTCTAATAATTAAGCACAAAGGAAATATCAAAAAGTGGCAAACGTACCGTAGCATATCCGATAAAGAAAAGCTTGTCCACACTGAGATCCAGGCCAGGTAGCCGCCCCTCTATTCCATTGTCCTTGACCCAAGATTGATAAGCCTAAATTTTCAATTAGAGAGGATCAAGATGGAGATTGTTAATGTATAAGGTGTTAAGTGCCAAACAAAAATATGACCTTTCAGTAATGAAGCAACGCTTTAGGGCAGTATAAAGTTATTTTTCTCTGGTGAACTATTATCTTCAGCTCACTAAAATCAGAAAATAAATTGCTTAAATGGTGGCTTACCTCATAAGCAAGCTTTATCCCTCCATTATCAGCTATGTTTTCATTCAAAGTTTGTTTGCCATCTATCTGCAAGACATCAAAACAAGACAAAGACAAATCTGTTTTACGTCTAACTTACAAGTTTGTGGATGAGATCCTAATGTGCGACTATCCAAAGTAAAAGGTACTGGCATATATACAATTTCAAGGCGGTTCAAGCTAACTTTCAGTATGCGGGTTGAATATGTAAGATAGTATTTATTACATGGTTGAAGCATGTCAAAGAAAATATATTACGGCCATTTATCTTCTAATAGCTCTCAGTGAGAGAGAATGATGACCTGAGGCAGGAATGATAATATGAAAGCCATTGAGCAATATTTTCAGGAAGTACAATTTATAAATCAAGGTGGTTCTAACTGTTAATGTGTGATGAATCGACAAATGAATGTGTGACCAATTAAAATGTACAGAGTTAGGATTATTAATATGTTGTGCAAGCGTGACGTTTTGTCTTACTTACATATTTTCCAAACACTTGGTAGTTGTTGTATTGATTAACCAGACATTCAGTTCTTCTCTCGAAATCCAGCGTCGAACTGAAAGACCACCAATCCTTCACATTTCCATTTTTATCAAACAATCGCCCTAAAAACGAAAATTATTTATTAGCAGCTTTTAGAAATTCCACAATTTATCCTTGACTATTTGAGTAATATCACGGCTCTTCACGAGGGTAATAATCTCCTGGTATAAAACTTTCAACATTGCCTTCTGCGAATTTCCATCAGACTTCTAGAGAGACGATCAAATATCTTATGCAAATGTGGTTTGAATCATAGTACAGGTTTGAGCGGTCAGCTTTGGAATGCGGTGTGGAAAAACATACATATTAGTTATAAATTGACCGAGAGGTTTTGCAGTCTGGGTGTCTCACTCTCACCAAACATTTCGGGAAGGCATGGGAGGCGAGCAAAACTAAAAATAGGTTGCAGCTACAGATAACCCACCAATTACTGATCAAATTAATTGACATTCATTATATATAACTATAGCTACCTGTGCTGTCAAATCCGTGTGTAATTTCGTGTCCAATGACCATTGCCAATGATCCATAGTTGAGATATCTATAGGGACAGCATCGCACACTGAGTTTTACTGAGATAAATTTTTATACTCCACTCAACTTTGATTGTACAAGAACGAATCTCACTGAGTGGAAAGCAGTGATGGGGAACGTCGAATGTGACAGCCTGAATTTGTTTTGAATTTTAATAAAAAGTGTTCTGATCTCTAGATCATAGCACCTCAGCATAACACCTCAGAACACCTTTCTAGATCAGTTTCAAAAATAGCTTAACTTAAAGAGTTTTTAAGTTAACAACGTCTCTGATAGCGCAAATAACATTAAAATAGCTAGGTTTGTCGTGTTACTAACTCGACCAGAGAGAAAAGAGGAAGGAAAATAGTTCGTGTATCTCTTGACCCCATACCAGTCTTTCTTAGAATCCCAGTGAACGTTTTCATTATTACTTACTTTGGGTAACCTTTTCTGTAAAATGGAGATTGCAGGATTCCAGCCAAAAACACTGCGAAGAAAAAAACAATAATAAGACGAAATAATTATTAATTATATAGATTTACCAACAATTTTTTAGTAATTAGACGTTTGCCGTAATGCATCATCTAGCTGAACAATTTGTAAAGAGGTAAATATCCAAAGCCTTTAATTTGGCAAGAATGTTTGAGAAACAAAAAGAAATTTTGTCTTGTAGACTGAATGTTCTATCTTTGATATTAATTCTCCTAATTTGAAGTACAGCGGCCAGTTTCCAAAAAAACGTCATTTTTTTAATGATGAAAATTAACCCACCTATTCGGTTTTGCTGTGGACTGTAATATCCATTGACCTCTGCAGGACTTTCGGCCCATCTAAGGAGAGCGTGCAATGGTAAATCTTATAAGCGGTATGACAAATACAACATGACGCTGCAAGTGGTAGCAAAGCACAGAGAAGTAGAAGAAGAGAAGGGAATATATATAGTACGTCCTCACTGCCTCAATGTCATGGACGGAGTGTACCCAGGTCTATGGTATCAACTAATTATCAGCCTGAGTTTCCTACAAGTATTAGTTAAAGTTAACTCTCGTTTCCTGCAAGCGAAAGTCAACTTTACCCACGTTTACTCGAGCTCGAGACTCGAGCACCTAGTGCTCGTATGTTTTACAACATGTTTCCTTCCTCTATCACAAACACAGTTAAGTAATTTTACAAAGCAAGTGAGGGAGTTTCCTTGTTCTACTTCCTGATTTTTACCAGAGTCAGAATGAGTTAGAACTAAATGTGCCAGCGCCGTACGTCACTAACTCAACAAAGATTCTCACTGAATATGTAGCCAAAGATACTACAGCCTTTCAAATCATTTCAGTGCACAGACTGGCAATGTACAACACCTGGTTTCTAGTAATTTTATAAACACAGGGCTTCGGTTTAAGGCTCTGTGCAATGAGCTATTTTTGAAGTATTAAAAGTCTAACATGGCAACGAGCCTTAGGGAAAAAATAATTTCGAGATCGAGGGATGAATAAATGAATTCTCTTGTTTCAGATCGCTAAGCCTCGACGCCACATCAGAATATTTCGAAAATGGCCTATTGCAATTTTCACAAATCTTCCAAGTTATGCCGTGCAGATGTAGTTTAATCTACTTTGCTCGACCCATAAAAACTACGAATCCAGTAAATTTTCCCCATCGTATGTACTCAACCAATAAAAGCTCCACAGAGTTTCATTCTTACAAATCTTTGTTGACCGGCTCGCGAAGCACGTCAAAACTTTTCTGCACAATCATCCTGTTCATTGCCACGCTGTTTTCAAAATAATCATTGCTTGCGTTTAACTGAGGAAAAAAAACAAACATACTATAGTAACATCAAGTGAACAGTAGTTATATGAATGAAGCATCATAGAAGATAAGACATATATATGATGCAGACTCTGCTGTCCAGAAGGACAAAGATAATTCTAGTGTGTGGGTGATTACTCACCGTTGAATAATGGGTGTCAAGTTTGCTGTCGTCTTTGATATAAGGAGGGTAACCCACGTCCTCTTTGATTGCGCGGGCCTGGATTGACGAAATACAAACCAAGATTTTATTACATAAATTGACAACCTAAATAATGTACCATGTCCTAAGATGAAACAACCATTGTTAGATTTGCTTTGCTTTCTGTGCTTTTTATGTCTGTGTTTTTCTCATTGTTTCTCATGGATTTTCTCCACCGGAAATAAGGAAAACGATTAAAAACCTATTATGCAAAGGTCTACACTCAAATTGAGCGTTGGTAGTAGGCGAGGTATAAACTTGAGTGGTCGACCATAGCTAAGATTCTCTTCACTACTTTTAAAAGCGTTTTTCGTACTGCTTCCGATGAAACAATGATGGGAACACTCAAAGAAGTGTCAACATTACTTAGCATTACTCACTGACATTTGGAAATTGAGCTATTCGCAGTGAACGACCAAAGTGTTAATTTTCTGAGCAAAACTGCACACAAAATAAACAAGGTTATCGATAAACTGTATGCCAGCTGTTAGTGATAATATGCCAATATACGAACATAATTTACCCAGGCCTAGTTCCATTCCAGTTCGAAACTGGCCGTGTAGCATGATTGACGGATATAAATATTACACAGCAAGCAACTGTACGTGCATGGAAATGGCTTGTTTGCAATGTGGAAAACATTTTCTTTGGGGTTGAACTCCATACATAAGAGATAAACGTCAGGGAATTGCCTGGTCGTCCATTATAATTCTTAAAAAATTATTTACGTTGGAAATGTTTCTTTCAATCAGAACCTGACCTGACAAATATCTCACTACAGAAGTAAAAAAGTGTCCATGCTGCAGTTAGCCTAGTTCTGGTTCCCACAACTAAAGTTCAAAATATTTGGCCTGAAATGACACATAACAATTTTTATAACATAACTAAAACAAAGCGCGCACTCTGATTGGTTAATTTAGCGTCTACTATTTGCCCATGGGTGTACGGTGCTGACGTGTGTGCTAATGTTTACAAAGCAAATCTTTTGACAGACATTGTTTCCAAAGTAATGGCCGACCTTCTTCTGCCAGAAATGCGAAACTGTCTTCACAGTTGTCTGAAGATGAAACTTTATCGAGTTACTGGTGTGCAGTCGGTTGTCGTGAATGAATTTT